ACCCTTTTACATTGCCAGCAAAGTTCTTCTTCCGGCAAAGAGCTTGGTGCAGAGCTTATCCCTTGATCTGGCGGAGAGTTAAGCCTACTGGGTGGGGGTTGGGTGGTGGTAGGGGAGAGAGTTCTCTCTCAGTAATGATCGTTGGATTACTGTTCTTGATCTCGGGCTGCTACTCACTAATCGCTTTGATGCCTTCTCACTTTTCCCTTACCCCCAGAAAGCGGGATTCTTCTACCTCTCACGCACCAGAACAGCCTTGCCTAGACCGGGATGAGGCCGAAACTGGTTCCCGAAAGAGCGACCAGACGGAAGTTGGAAAGTGGGAATTTGACCTACAATTTTACCTCAATGTTTGTTTTCGACTTATCGATCGGTTGGCAAAATGCGGCCCGTGCCCCGTGAAGGCATTTTTTTTTCTCCCGGCCGCCGACCTGCTTGGTAAGCCAGCGAGGTCCGTCGAGCCGAAGTGATCCAACACGCGCATCTCCGCCTGAAGACCCGGCCGCCCGCCTGACAGCGGCGCAGCGGCGTGCCCGGCCGGGCAGGGGGATGAAGAACTGACTCGAGGCGCTCGGCTCGGACCCGAGCTCAGCCGACTCCCGCCCGCCACTCTCCGCCACGCCCGGCAGACCTCCTAGACCTGCAGACCTTACCTTCCCTCGCAGGAGGCCTCCCTTGTCAAGGTGTGTGTGTCTGTGTGTGCGCGAGCGCACGCCTGACAGAGAGGGGAGGGGTGGGAGAGAGAGAAGGAGCACAACGTGGGACCCCAGACCCCCGACGCAGAGGTCGAGGTGCGGGACGGGTTGGGTTGGGTTGGGGGTTCGGAGCGGGTGACATAGACAGATGCTCCCAATGTGGGGACGATACGGCCCGCCCTGCCCTGCCACCGCTTTGCTTTGCGATGGGCTGTACGCGCGCTCCGGCGGGCTGTGCGGGCTGTGCCCTGCATGTTGCACTGCATCCCGTATCCTCTTTTCCTCTCTCACCCCCCCCCCCTCTCTGTCTCTCTCTCTCTCGCCTACTCTCCCTCGTCTCCTCTCCCTCTCGTCTCCTCCGCGTCCTTCTCACTCTACCTTTCTCCCGGTAGCAGAGCAGCGCTCTCTACGCCCCAGCAGTCTAAAACGACCACACACAGCACACCACGGCTCAGACTGCCGCAGCGCCAGTGACTACGCAGCAGCCATGTTGTGTTTGTCTGCCCTCTGTGTGTGTGTGTGTGTGTGTGTGTGTGTGTGTGTATGTAGGTGTGTGTGTGTGTGTCTGTCTGTCTGTGTGTCTGTGCGCCAGCCGAGCCCATCAAATCCGCCCCGGGCTCGTTAATCGTGTTCGTTTTTTCCAGGCGCCTGCCTGACTTCCGACCTGGCCGCAGCGGCGGCGCCATAGCGGGGCACCGCCCGGCTGATGGTGTTGGCGGGGAGAGAGAGAGATAGAGAGAGAGAGAGAGAGTGGTGCAGAGATTTAATGAAACGACCGCCCGCTTTCTAAGCGCCCTTTATTTATGCTGATGCTCCTTTACGAACTCTCTGCTCTGGCGAGGAATATTGGCTGGGAGACCGACCGCCGCCGCCGCCGCCGCGGCCCCCAGCAGCCCCCCACCCTTTGCTTCCCGCTTCCCACTTCACTGTGTGTTTCAATGTTGCGATGGAATTGGGCGTTTGGTACTACGGGGGGGGGGGGCAGGCGGTATCCGCGCCAGCCAGCAGCCAGCCACAACGTTTTAATTACCGGTGGTGGCAAGAACGAGAGTAACTGCGGAGGGAGACGAAAGATGGAGTCAGAGGAACGGGGATATAAATGCGGCGGACCCGTGATGGAGACGGGAAGAGTCGCGAGCGGCAAGAACGGAGGCGGAGAGGAACGCACGGCTTGTTTTCTTCGGGAGCATCCGCTGGAAGGCGTGATGCACAAGGGGTTGCCCCCCGGTCCCGATGCGAATCGTCCCAGAGCGGCGGGCGGGCGAGCGCGGGCGGGGTGCCGACCAAACAACCAAAACTTCAGCGCGCCGGGCCGGGCGTCGAAGAAAGACGATAAAAACTACGCGTAAAGGCAACCGCGTGGTAGAAAATGCGGGGAGGCGCTCGAAACGCAGAAAAGGTAAATAAGCGCGGGCTGCTCGTTGACGAGGAGAGTGTGATGGCGAATAATGAAAACGGTTGGCTGGCTCTGACGGAGGAGGAAAAACGCACGGAGATAGGGGGGCGGGGGGATGAGGCACCGCCGTGGGGCAGATGTTTGCGCGCCACTCACCTCAGGCCGGCCGGCCCCGAGTGTTTGCAACCCATTTGTCGTATTTATTCTCTCGGTTCCCTGCTCACTCACTATCCCACATCCCCACCCTTTCCGCCTCTTGTTTCCTCTCTCCTCTGCTTGCTATCCCGCGCTGCAGTCACGGGGAGGGGGGGGGGGAGAGGCTGTGCGCCGCGGAGAAACAACGTTCATGGCGTCTTGGGGGTGGCGCGCGTTGCGCAGCGCACGGCTGTCCCGGACTGTCCTTCTGCCTGTCGCAGTCGCGGGTGGCGGCGGCGACGGCGGCGTTCCGATGGGATGGTGTTAATAATGCGGCATGTTGCAGTGTGGGGAGACGAGCGGGGGCGGCGCCAGCCGAGAGAAAAATGGACAGCGCGGCTTTTGGAGCTAGATTTGCGTGCACCACACGCTTTGGTGGACTCGGCACACGCGGGGGCGGCGGCTGGGACCTTTCTCCTTCTCCAACATTAATCAGCGTTCTGCACAACGTGTTCGAAGTTTGAGCTGCGAGTTGCGTTCTCCCCCTGCCGCTGCTGTGACTGTTGGCAAAAGTTTTTGAGCCGACAACAGAGAGCGAGCCAGCGCGGCGTGCGGCGCGACAGTTCAAGGTTAAAGGCCCGGACCGCGTGTCAAGTCGAGCCAGACGCGGGTGTCCGGTCCGGACTCCGGATCTGAAACGTATACCCGGACGTATACCATAGGTGGCTGACTCACGCCGCGCACCTTACTCGTAGTTATTCTGTACCCTGTGCCAAGGCACGCTGGTATGCGAGCGAGTGTGCCTATCTATCCACCGCTGCCAACGGCTCCTTACGGCCGCGCCCCGTGTACGAGTAGGCGACCCAGCCCGCACGCGTGCATGCGCTACAGTATACCTACACCAAAGTGCGCGGCGCGAGTCAGCAGCCACCTGGCATGGTGCATGTTGTCGACACACGCTCGTGGGCAGCACACTGGCGCTAGATATATACTTCCGGAGGATGCCGGATGCGACTCGACTTAAGGAATGCGGGGCCGGGAGGTGAAATAAACACCGCCCCGTCCTGCCACTCGGCAGAAGCAGCTGCTGCTGCCGTCACCGTGCTTCCGCTCCGCCGGCCTTGACAGCATTCCAGCCGCCTCCAGACACCTCCGCGCGTCGCGTTGGCGTCGTGGCGCACGACCCCGGGGGCCGCGACGGGGGCGGGCGGGGCGGCGGCGGCGACGACCGACGAAGACAACGACGAACACGGCGGGGGCGGCGAGGGCGCGCACGACGGGCCGAAGCAAGAGGGGGGCATGAGCGCGCGGCGGAAGTAAGGCAGGTGGGGCCACACCGGGAGCGGGTGTCGCCGGAGCGCCATCGCATCACCGGGTCGATGGGTTATTAATTGAGAGTGCTGATGAGGGCCCGGCCCGAGCCCTGGCGGGGCGTGGGTGTGTCCGCTCTGTGCGGGGGCGGGGTGGTCTGCTGTCGCTCCGTCGCTAGGCCAGACAGCACGCGGTCCTCCACCGCGTAACCCTCTCCTCCCTCCCCACTCAAATAACACGGCCCAGCCTCATTTTAATTTGCATGAACGGAGGCGTTGTCGTCGCGGCAAAACACGAAAACGGCGCGCAAGGTGCCACGTTTCTGCGGGCGAGGGGAGCAGTTATTAGTATTATTGTTATTACGCGCCGCCACCGGATGGACGCTTCCCAATTTCGTGGCGAATTCGGTCGGGGGCGGTATAATTGGAGGGATGTTCCTCGGCGGCCCGGGGGCCGTTGGTGCGTGCAGTCGGCGGTGGCGGCGGGGGGTAGCGGTCGGTGGGTGCCGACAAGGAAAAAGGCACGCTCGTCATGACCATTTTATTTTTATTCCAGAGCTTTGACGAGTCGGCGTGCGGCGCGGCGGAGCGCGGGGACAGCGTGTCGCCCCGGGCGGAAAAAGGTAATAATATGTCGGGGAGGAGGGAGAGAGAGACGGGGAGCTCCACATCGGGGAGAGACCCTCGGGCGAGCGCGCCGCCGATACCCCCCGCGGCCGCCGCCACGCCGCGCAAGGGGTATATCCCCACGCATGCAGGGGCCGGGCGCGGGGCGTTCGTCGGGCCCCAGAGTCGTATCTCTAGGGCTCTAGGGCTCTAGTTGGCCTAGCCCTTTCCTCTAGTGCTAGAACATGGGGGCATGGATGTGCGTAGAGGGGTGGGGCGCATGCGGGCGCATGGGCATGCTGCAACGAGTATTGTCTTTGTTCCAGAGTGGTTGCGGGCGGCGCGGGGCCGGCATGGCATGGCATGAGCAGATGCAGCCGATTGCTCTGCCCCATGTCGATGAAGACTATGGTGGACACGGGAGGCAAAGGGGGGAGGGGGAGGGGCTTTTGTTGTGGGGTTTGGTGGTTTTAGAGAAACAGTCTGCGAAGTTTGTCCGCACTGGGGCCTTAATTACGGCCGTGCACTCTCTGCCGCTGCGACAGTCCGCGGGGCGGGAGGCTTTTGAGGGTGGAGTGGGCGAAAGGCGATGAAGGTCGTCGGCAATGGGCATCGTGCAACTCCCCGACAAATAAAGAGAGGAAAAAAACACGGATCTGAATAGAGAAGGCACATCCGTCGTCAACTCAGCGGGATTCACCTATACTACCCTCTCCCTCATGTGTCATGCATGTTCATGTTGCCTCGTGCTCCCAGCTCCTGCCCGTGCCCGCCTGCATGCCCCCCTGTGCCCTGTGCCTTACCTTCCCTCTGATCTGCTAACTCCCTTGGCTCGCAGTAGAAGCGCCTTATTTCGTGGTGTTACGTAAGAAATGTTTTCAAACCTGTGTGAAAGATTATTGTATTTATTCAGTTGTAGAGAATGTCGCATGCAAGTAGTGTGACAGCGCGTGATAAAGGTGGACCGAGTGTACAGAACTTGAATTTTTTTTTTTTGATGATGCAACTTTTCTTTTTACTATAATTATAAACAAAATCGCAATGACAAGTTTGTTGTTGATGCTGGTGCTGCGCAGGAGGTGCCCGACTCGGCACCGCGGCTGCGGAAGTGGCGCCTGTCGGTGCGGGACAGCCGCGGCCCTCAGGTCACGGAGGCGCTGGCGCTGGGGGCGGGGGCGCTGGGGGCGGCGGGGGCGGGGCCGGGCAGGCCCGGGCCCGAGGAGGCAGCGCGCCTGCTCAAGAAGCTTGCCCACAAGCAGCTCAGCCCCAACGACTGGAGGAAACTTGCGCGCCACTGGAGGTTCACCGACGACCAAGTGCGGGCGATCGAGCACCAGTACACGGGTAAGGCCGCGCGTCGCCGCCCGCCCCGCACCTACCGGGCCCGGCACTCGTCTCAATGCGCGTCGCCTTTCTTCTCGGCAGGCCCAGCGAGTTACAAGGAGCACGGCCATCGTGTGCTTCTTATATGGCAGCACAGCTTGGACCCCGAGTGCAACTTCCTTAGCGAGCTCGCCGACAGCCTGGCCGCCGTGGGCAACAACTCCGTGGCAGGTCCGTTTCAGCCGCGTTCGAACAAGTCGCACCGGGAGACGTGTCTCTTCAGAGATTGGTAGCGCGAGCATCATGGCAATCATTATTGTGATTCCTTTCTGTCCACAGAGTCGCTGCGGAGAAAGATGGAGGAAGCGGCCCCGGAGTCGGGGGACTTCCATTTCCCCCGCTGCGCCCCCTGCGCCCTGACGTGAAGGGCTCGGGGGTCGAGGCGGGGGCGAGTCACCCGGAGCAGCGCCACGGTCACGGTGGGCGAAGCCGCAGCCGCAGCCGCAGCCGCCGACCGCCGAGCCAGTGCGGCGTGTGCCGCTGGTTCGCGGACGGCCGCAAGGGGCTTCCCGTCGACGAGGTGGAGGAGTGTCGAGCACAGCTCCTCGACCGCCTCCCCCGACCCGCGCGCCCGCGCCAGGGCCGCTCCGTGGACGACGGCCGCGAGGAGCAGCCCGTCGACGAGGACCGTCGCACGCAGTCCCTGGCCCGCCGCGCCGCGCGCAAGGGCCGGTCGGTGGACGACGGCAGCGAGGTCTCCTACGACGACGGCGCTCCGTTCCTGCCGCAGCCCGGACAGCGTCGCCGACGCGCCCGTCGCGCGCCCCCGGGACTCGGGCCGAACCAGGGCGAGCAGGCCCTGCGGCAGGTGCGCAGGTCGGCGAGCGGGCCGGCTGGCGTGCAGCAGGACGAGCACGACTCTGCTCAGGGACGCCGTCAGAGACGCCAGCGGAGACTAGAGTCCGCGTCGGCGCACGGCTGCGTCTTCTCCAGCGGCGACGAGTTGTGCGGTCGTCCAGCCTCGCCACCCAGCAGGCGCCGCTCCAGGCGGCGCGCCACGTCCTCCAGGGACCTCACGGGCGCGGCCGGCCGTCACCCTCCGTCCACGAGGGTGCAGGACAACCGCCCACATGGCCCGGCCGCGAGTTCCAGCGGCCTGGAGCACGGCGCGGAGCGCAGGACTCGGTCTCTTCGGGACAGCGAGCTGGGCAGCCCGGCGCGTCGGGCGCGGTCCACCGGAGACTCTAGAGGCCGACGGACGGGGGCGGCTGGCCAGCTCCAGCGCCGCGCCGAGAGCGCCCATGTCCTGCTGCCCAGCACCAGCTACCAGCTTCACTACCGCACGGGGCTGCTGTGAGGACGAGGCCGAGGCCCAGCCAGGATGTCGGGAATAAGGAACTCACAGGGACCAAGCGTGTCTCCCAACACATTTTTATTTTTCATTATTTTAGTGCTCCTCGCTCATGGTTTTTTTTTAAAGTATGAGGGATTTCTATTGGTTGTCGAATCCTGCAACGCACGGCCACGCTGAGGTCGCGTCGCACTGAACTTGGACTAGCGAAGCGACTGAAGTGCAAGCGCAAGACCTGTCAAAGCTCGAGGGTAGTCACTCAGGAGAAATGAGGGACATGGAAGGAGTGGGGGTAGAATTATCCTGCTGCCCATACGCATGTTTTTTTCTTGTCGCTCTGTACTGCCTGAACTTAGGCTTTAGGTTGTCAGGTATTACATTTAGCATGCCTGCGCACATGCTGCTCAAATTAATTTTAAAACGCCTAAATTGTTTATTTTGTGTCCGTATTACATTACCACAACAAATGTTTCGTTCCTACTGTAAAAACGCAATTCTTTCGTAGATAATTCTTTTCTAAAATTTGTCAATTTAGTCTTTAAACAGCCACGCATAAAACATTCATAAAATCGTGTATATTTGTTATTGATTCAAGTTTGTAATATACACGGCATGCCGTTCGTGTGAAATAATAAAGTATATTTATGAACAGTTTCTGGTGCGAAATTTCTCAAGACCGCGAATTAATATTTGGTCGTATTGGAGATAGAGTTGGGGATCGCCCAAAAATTACGTCCGTTTTTCTCAGATTAATTCAGCTGGCATTTTACGGGAGCTCGGCGCCTGCGAGACTCGGAGTAGGCCACCCCGCAGTACTCACATGCATTGTAGGCAAGATGTTGCCTATCTACCAGGCGCCATGAGAGCTTACAGGCCAAACTTTCGACGGGTTCATGACGAAAAGTGACGGTCGTACTTTCTGAATGAGCCCATAAATATGAAGGATCGCTGCCGGGCAGTCCGAGAAGAGATTCGTTGATTATTCTCAGATCCAAATCCACACCACGCACCACACACCTTTTCAATCCATTCTGGACGAGCTCGCGTGTAAACGCTCCCGGGGTTGCCAGGCCACAGCTGCTCGTGGTGCCCCCGGGCCAGGCCACGCCAAGCGGCCGGGGAAGGCCGACGCTGCGCGGCGCCCACCCTGGTCCGTCGGGTCGGATGGGTGAGCGATATGTGAGGCCCGCGGCCCGAAATAGAGAACGGTTTGCGGAGGGCTGGTCGAAAAGAGGTTCACTCGTGTAAGCAAATCAAAACACAGAGACTGACGGACGGGAGAGGGAGACGCGTGGGTGGGGGGAAACGGAGCGGTCGAGGTTGAAAAGGGGGAGAGGAGGGGGGGGGGGCATTTTGCTTGCCGGTGGTGGTTTGGCTGGTTCGGTCAGAACGGCGAGGTGCAGGCGGTCGAACAGTCTGTGCGTTTGGACGTTGGACAGTTGCGCGGGTCTCACCGAGCGGCATGGCGTCCTTCCCCGCCGCTAGCCCTGGAGCCGGCAATGGGACTTCTCGCGTGGTACAGCCGTGCACCACCTCCTGTGCCAACACCTGCCAAGACGTTATCAATCTCCTCACAGAACAAAGTATAATTTGTCATCATGCGATTTTTAATGAGGCAAAACCATCATTAACAGTGGTGTGAATTATATTTGTGAGTGATTTCGAACTATCGAGGAGTCTTGTATTTTTGCAGTAACCAACTGCACCAGGACCACTCCAGTCGACAAGTTAACAAAGATCTGCACGAAATTGTGCAAGACTGTTTGGGAGAGCGACGTGCCAGCGGACACAAACGAAATTGTCTTCCGCAAGCAGCCGAGCCAGGACGTTAGCCAGGACGAAGGGAAAGGTGACGTCGGTAGCGGGAGAGAACACAGCCTGGACGAGTTCCAGATCGTCAAGGCCGTGGTCCTGGGCCTCGTCACCTTCATCATTCTACTATCCATATGCAAAATGGTGTTCCAGCTGTTCGTGCGATACTCGGCCAAAGCGGACGACAGAGGACACTGACCATGAAAAAACAATAACAAGATGATAACGATAAGAGTAATATTTGTGGTGGATTTCAGTGCCCATCAATAACGAGTCGACTTGGAAACGACTGTTCACGCTCGGACGTAATTTTCCATCTGTGCTGAGGCTCTGCTCTCTGGCTCTGGGTCGGCAATAAAGACCGGCAAGGCGGCGCGGCATAGTGGTAATTTCAGAGGCAAACGGCATTCACAAGAATAGCAGTGCAGAACAGCGATTGAAAATAGATTTCCCCGACCCACTTCTAGATGCACTGTGCTGTTTGTTGGGAGAGGTTGAGCAAGCCAATTATAATATGCAACAATAGCATTTAATTCAATAAAACCACATATGAAAATAATCTCATATGATATGTCAGTGCATGCATCTCGCAGTCCTCAGGATCATCAGAGTGTGCATGTAGGCAAACAAAACACTGGCCACCAAACTAGAAACATGGTGATTTGAAATTGTGAAAAATATGTACGTACAAGACAGTAAATATAACCATTAAACCCATAGACAGACTATGGATTGGTAACATATATGTTGCAGCAAAATCAACAAAACGTGCATCCCTTGTCCATAGGTGGTACACATGCTTTTGAAGAGAATACAATACAAAAGAATAAATACTAAGCAGTATGTGTATATCAAACAAATTTGATTAAAATATAAAACTCCAAAAGACTCAAAGATAAAAAATTTTGAAGGACGGATAAGAAACATTTAGGTAGATATCAGCTGGTCTACAGCCACAATAAAACATTCCAATATCAAAAAATACACATTTTTTCTTCAAATTTACACTGGTTAACTGTAAAAGACAGTAATAATAATAAATTATTTTCACAACCTACTAATAAAGTTTGTCAGCTTAATTCAGCCTTAATTATTTTCAGACATGTTTGAATTCCTCTCAGCCTTCCGTTTACTTTGCGTGAAAGGAGGTTCTCCTTTCAATTCATAAAAAAAGATACCAAAAAGTGAGTTTGAATAAAAAGCATTCATTTGCTATAAAATTGTAAAATAGACTAGCCAAGACATAAGAGGACTTCTTATGTTTGTTTGTTTAAAGTGCCTGCCAAAATATAAAATAAGTAAAACAAATAGAAACTGTTTGGAAATCAAACAATCGTCAATCTAGGAGAAGGTTTACCACTCATCCTACAGGTTAAGAAAAGCTGATAATTTCAGAGGGCAAAAGTAAAAGTTACCATAAAAATACTAGGTACAAAGATAAATTAATTAAGAATAAAACACAGTTTGAGCAAGCACGTAGTCCCAGCAAGAAAGTGCATAAAACACCTGTAACCAGGTGTGCAACAAATACATTTGAAAAGTGAAAGTGGGAACATATTCCACTATGTGCCAACCTTTAACTCACACAGGATCACCCTGCACCACTAGATAAACATTTTTAACACAAAAGAGACAAATTCATAAAGAATATACACACAATATCATAAAATTGAAATATTAACAGGCGACTCAACAGAATTGAAGTCAATAAAGTTTCTAGGGTGTAGTGACAGGCGCTAAAAATAACTAGCAAATTTATCAATCTGGTTCACAGCTGGCACCATCAAGGAAATTATAGAGCCAATCATTTCTTTAAGTAAAATCTCTTAATACTGAATACTGCACGCCCAGAAAGCAAGATAACAATGGAAGACCCAAAACAAACTGTTAAAATATTCCAGGGTGATGCATAGAGAAGCTTAAAATAAGGTTTAAAAAGTTGCTAAACAGTGAAAAGTTTCAGTCCAGAACAGAATAATACATTGAAAATTAACATTATGGGTGTTTTAACCAGTACACTACAAACAGATTAAAATGCAGTAAAAACAGTCTCATACTGTACAGTAACAACAGTTCTGAAATATAACCATAACTTTTTCCTGAAAATGCGGACATCATACAAATCAGTGCCAACGGTGTAAGTCTATTTACACATTCATTACATTATGGTTTAAGAAAAAGATGATGAACAAAATACATACAAAACAAGGTGTCAATGAGTGCAAAAGCTAATGAATTATGGTCAATAAACCACCAGATGATTGATTCAGTTACAAAGAGAACTACAAAAGTATTGTCTTGATGATCACAAAAGTACGATGCACTCAGGAAGGAGAAAATATAAGAATAAAATTTTAAAAGTCAATACAAAATCTTTAAGACCGTGCGACTTATTTGGCGCAGTTTAAAATCAACTCTCTGAATAGACTAGGCATTTATCTGGAAGAACAGAACTCACCCTCACAGATTCACACAATTTCTCATTATATGACTCTCACATATACAGTACAAGTAGACAAAGCAAAAGACAAGAATAGAGAATATGTAAAGCAAAAGGAGACAGAGCAAAAATTTGGATCATGAAACATACTTGCACTTATGTGTACATGCTGCATTCATTTACATACCACCAACCAAAAATTTATACTTTAGAATACATCCAGTGCCCACAAGCATGTACCATTAAAAGTGAAGATTGAGGAGCAGATCCCTGATTTCATAATAACTGTCCTATGGGAGAGTTCAAAATCCAGGGAATAATGTCGGGTAAGATGAACATTGAGAAACAACTGATGAAATTATATCATTGGCCCACTACAAATGGTATGTATGTCATCTCCTAAAAATTTTAAATTGTTACTGACAGACATGAACATGAGACATTAACAAACTGAAGCAAACTTCTGCATCACAACTCTAAAACATTTCAAAAAAATCAAATGTTAGTTCAACTACTGTACAATGCTGGAGCAAGAAATCATCACACTAAAATCACACAACTTAATGCACACCATTTGCTTCTGTTTTCTCATTTCTGTGCAGGCACAAAAAAGTAAAATATACCTACAAAATATTTCAGGTAATGCTGGAGAAGATTGAAGATGGAAAAATATATTAAGATTCATATCCATCGGTTCCATATCCATTGACTATGTTCTGAGACCTTATAAGAGCCTATGACACAGGGACCCACAGTGTTTTAGTTTGCTCCACTGCAACGGCATCTTTGATTTGAGTGCACATGTAGGCAACATTTACTCCAGCAGGGATAACAGCTGAAAAAAGACAATTGACAGTGATAAAACAATTTGACATTTAATGAGAATGTAAAAAGGAAAAAAAGAAACAATGGGAAAAACTGACCAGATATTAAATGCCGATAGTCTGCCTCCAATTTGGCAGCATGTTCAACCATTTCCTTGGCTGCTTTGGCTGACACTTTGTCCATTGAACAGCGGGTATCCTTCACTTCTTTGATTTCTTTAATTTGTTTGAAGGATTTGAATTTAATAAGAAGAATGATTGGATACAAATTGTGACGATGGAGGCGTTCAACCGCAGCAAGAGATATGTCAAGAATGCAGTGAGTGTTCTAAACAATATTAGGGAGAAACAAAACAATATTAGTATACCATACCTAATCCAACACTGTCAGTCAGTTTTAAATGTTATGGGTGGAGGTGGAATTAGCTTTAGACTTAACAAAGATAAAAGGTATGAGATGAGATGTTTTTCAACAGATCATGAGTAAGGTAATTAAAATTTTAAGGCAGCTAAGGGAAGAGTTTTGGTAATAGCCAATCCAATAGTAGGTATTTAAAATTATTAACTGACATACCTTGTCACATATATCTCTAATAGCAGCAACCGATGTGCATTCAAATATGCTACCATGCTTCTTCCGATAGTCTACAAGGACACCATTAGCAATTCCCTTTTCAACATCCGTAGAGCTGCAGTGCATTACATCAGGAGCACATCTAACAAAAAGTTGAGGGAAGTCTTGAAGGAGCTTTTCAGTGACACAATCGGCCAATGGACCTACTATCAGGACAGGTCGGAATACAGTATCTAGAACAAAATAAAAGGTACACTTTCAATATTCACTGCATACTTGAGGGCAATTGTTGTGTATGATAAGATAGATAACAAAGATTTTAACACCCAAGCTCAAAATTTCTACTGTTACTACAAAATGCTTACAATTCAATTTTTCCACTCGTAGGTAGCTGGCAAGAGCTGCTTCATCATTCAAATTTCCAGAGTCTGAGTACCAGCCCAAGTTGATGCTACTGAAGCTGGCAAGTTCCTTACTGTCTTGACTAGCAGATCGCTGATGCTTCTTGCGTCGGAAAAAACTGCGGCGAGCTGTTGTAGAACCACGGCGCACATCTGTCTCCAAATCCCCAAGACTTCTCCTGAGCAGCTGCTCTTCAACCCTGTTGAGGAAATATACTCATTATATGGGGGTCAGAATTTCTGAAACTACAGTATGAACTTGACAATAATTAAGAAGAAATCTACTGCTGAACCCATAAAGTACTTACTTGTATTTGCTTGGAATGATACCACATTGTTGCATTATATTGCCTTCTTCATCAACACACCAAGCTCTCCAGTTCCCTGGTTTTCCATTAAACATTGTGTTGTCAATAAATAAGACATCATCCTTATGGAAACGTAATTGCATTGGTTCTCCGGTATCGCCTTGACGATCGAATAAAGCTCTGATGTAAAAGCGATCTCCAGGCTTATCCTTTATTTTGTTATATTTGTCAATGTTGTAATGAACAAGAACCGAAACTTTATCAGCAGGTTTAGCCAATTCATAGGCTGCTTCTTCAGCTGTGGCTTGGCGCAAGTCAGTTGCATTGTACTCCAATATTTGGTCTCCTGTTCTAAGGCCAACTTCAGCTGCAAGAGAGTCTGGTTGCACACTGTGCACAAAAATACCAACAGCATTGCCACCAACAAGGCTGATACCCAAGTTGCTACACTTGCGTGTTTCTAACATTAAGAGTCTGGGCTCATGCGCAGATGACTTGCTTGTGTCATCCAAACTCCTAATAAGAAGAGAATAAAGATTATTCATAAGATGCTGATACCTATGAACAACACTGTAATTGTATGAAAAAACACCCTTACTGGACTAAGGAAGAACGTTGTGAATGTGATGCATTAAACTTGGCAGCCTTCTGCCTTTGAAGGGTGGATGTTGCTTGAGCTATCTGGCTCCTGGTTAGAGTATTCTGCTCATTTGGGTGACTATTGTTGTAGAGGCTGTTAGGGCCCAGTTCTTGGAGCTTAGCATGGGTTGCATGAGGTGAGTTTCGGGGAGTTGGTGAATCAGAGCGATGACTTTCATCACCACTAGAGCTACCAGAATTTTCCATTTTGTACTCTATAAAAAGTTTCAAGGTGATATCAGGTATAAAAGATATAACGGTGATAAAGTGAAAAAAAAAAAAAAAAAGAGTAAAAAGTCAGTAGTACTTACTTTCTGGGCTGTACTGGACAAGCATAGTAATAGAATTCCCACATTGCCGTAAAACATTAGCAGCCAATTGGTAAGTTGCACTGCGCATATTTATGCCACACACCTCCAGGAGCTGGTCACCAACCTGATTAGCAATATAATATATATATAATATACGTAATATCATTAATTAATGTGGGAAGAGAAAGGAAAAGATGATAACATAGATGAGAATAATAGCAAAATCATACCTGTAAACCAACTTTGCTTGCCAGACTATTGACACTGACAGTTGATACAAAAACACCACCTCCATCAAGGCATTTAATTTGAATTCCTAAAGGCTCCACTGACTTATCAATATGCACCCGTCTAAGGTCTCCAGGAGCAGGAATAGGGCTGTAAAAATAGAAGGTTTCCTCCTTGAGAATACATGTACTAAAATATTTTCATATTGGTATAACTTGATAAATTAAGGCAGTAATTGCAGAGCTACATGTTCAAACCCACAGTCTTCAGTGAGGAATAACATGCAAAACAAGAAGGAAAATTGAAAATAACTAACGAGTGCTGTGATCCTGACTGGTGTGATCCTGACCAATAATCAGGAAGGGAATTTCTCTTGCTACCGCGACTTGCCCGACTGAGAACATCCACTCTAAAAGTGGGCATTGGACTGTCTCTTTCAGAAGGTCGTTCCATACTGCCAGCTGAAGAGGATACTTTACTGGTAACACTAGGGTTTGAAGGGATTCTGAAACAAGAATTTATTAGTGTCCAAATACTTTAACTTTAAAATATTTAAGAAAAATTAAAAATAGCATACCGAAATCTTGGGTTCTCTTTCTTTCGGGGGAATGTCCCACTCTCAAATCCGCCAGGCTGATAAGAAATTGCCATGTCATCATTTACACGGTAGGTTGGATGGGAGTGAGCTTGCTTAACAAAGTGCACATCAGATGGAGAATGTGTATGATAGGGCTGCAAATAAGGGTTATCAATTCTTAAACATACGAAAAAATAATCACAAAATTAACTACAAACAGTCAGTCAGGGATGAAAAAAACCCTGAGGACTGTCTAAAAATTACCTGAGGTGGACCATAAGGAGGTTCAAAGCAAGGCCTGCCTGTATCCGGTAGACCGATGGATTCACCACTTGGAGATGATGGTAAGTGGGGCACTGGGGAGTGATAACGGGGACCAGGAAAGCGAGAAGGTGCAATAGTATGAGAGTGAGGGTGGTGGGAATGAGGCACTTGCACTGGAAAAGGATAGTGAGGATGGGGTCTTAGATAAAGTGGGTGAATGATGCGACTGTGAGTACCATCAGGTACTGGACTTGCATTGCTTTCACTGTCACTTGGTGGATAATGGCGCATTCCAGCACTACTATTATGACTTCCTTTTTTCTTGCAATAATCAAGCATATCTTTGGATGCATTACTACTAGCATCACTCAAGTGATCACAATCAGGCGTAGGACGATCCCTCAATAGGTTTGATATGGGAACACGTTCTTTCGGTCTGTAGAAATTTACAGAGAAAAATTACACTCAAGTTCAAGATTAAAGAAATTTATACTTGTTAAAATAATGAGCATACCTGCGATGATGAAGTACTGTTCCAGTGCTGTGTCTAGCATTGATGCCACGTGCTTTAGGCCATGTTCCTCCATTTTTCTCCTCTTCTTTACGTCTTCTCAAAGCTACAGTCCCTGTTCCACTACTCAGACCAGACCCTGATGTCTGACTTCTCTGAGTTGGATGATAGCTGTTGATTACAGAATCTAGTTCAGCTATAACCTCCTCTTCCTGTCCAACTGGGGATGCATTTCTGTCTTTGTTCTTATCTGGGAAAGTGTACTGAAAGCCACAAATTTGTATCAGTAAAAATTAACTTTCAAAGAGAAGCTAGTCACAAAATACTACTTTACATACCTCTCTGCGATTCCGAACACGATCAAACTTTTCTCTTAAAAGTTCACCCCAACCCGTACTGCTGCTGCCACTGTTGCTGCTGACTTTGTCAACTGGGGTTTTGTTGACTTTATATACAGAACGTTCAGAAAACCTGCTGTGGAGAAAATTCCTGCATTTCAGTGGCAAACTTTAGTGATACTGTTTCATTAAATAAAACTACAACAAATGATAAGACAGGCAAGGTGATGGAAAATACCTCTGATCCAACAAGTCTGGGCGAACAATGCCATCTGTCTGACAAGCACTATGCTTGTGATCACGGCCATGGGAGCCGTGGGGACTGCTACTACAAGTAGGCGATCTATCAAATATTCGGTGCTCCCTACAAATTACAGTTTTGAATGTTATATAATTCCTTAAATTTATCAATCTAAAGTATTAGATGACATAAAGTCACAAAAAGTTGAACACACCTCAATTGTTGAGCACTCTCCTTACATGTGTTGCTAGCACCTGGAAAAACTCTCTCTTCTTCACAACTGCTGTGGGAACTGTTACTGCCACCACTACCTGAACCTTTTAAAGTAGTGATTGTGGCTGAATCTGAGTGTTCTTCTAGAATAGCAATGGCCTCCCTTGCAGATGACAATCCATCCATTGGCTTGTTATTAATCTGTTCAAAAATAATCCAGTATTAAACAAGAAAAAAGGGTTAGCAATACAATCAATTTATAAATCATCTCTTAATGTAAAACTTACACTGAGAACTCTATCACCAACAGCTAGGTTTCCTTCTTTAGCAGCAGCTGAGCCTGGACTAATTTTGCAGATATAAATGCCAGTTTCTAAAGAAAGTCCATGTTCACAATCTAGTCCCATATGCAACTGTATTAAGCAAAGAAAAATTTTATTAAGCATAAAAAAGAACTGCTTATTATAATATGAAACGAAGAAAGATTACAGTAAGAAATGTACCTGAGTAGTGTAAATACTGCGAATGAATCGACGGCGTCTAACAACCATGTTTGCTACACGACCTCCAGCACGAACAGTCTCAAGAACCATGCGCTTACTCACATTGCTGCAGTCTACATTGTTTACTCTACTAATGCAATCATTGACCCTATTGAAGCAAAAACCATTATCATTAACATTAGGCTTAATGTAGTAGCAATTAAGAATGAAAAATTATATTTGGTCAAAAGAACTGACTTCCTTAAGCTCTTTTACTTACTTCAGCTTTCCATCAGCTACACTGCCTTTTGCAATGGAGGATACATATATACCAGTATCATTGGAGTACTGAGGATCATCCCTCCCTCCTACCAAATCAAATCCTAGATCATCATCAGATGCAAGGCCACTCTGCAATAATGTAAAATTTGATTAGTTCGATATTTTGGATATTAATCATAGCTCAAGTATATTGATGTGATGTTGGGATTGACATACAATGTCAATTTCAAGAATCTCTGTTTCCCACTCTTGCAAATCTGAATCAATTGCTGAGTCATGACTATGATTGTGACCCGCCGCTCTGAATTGCTGAGATCGACTTTCCTTTTCCATCTGAGCTTCAACTTTTTCTCTGCAAAGTAAGTTTGTCAAATGATAAAAACATTTCAACAAATATATTTGAAGTTTAATAAGATTGCCAATTGTAAAAGGACCTTACTTTAACTGTTTTAATTCCTTTGAAGCTTCATTGCGTTGCTTTTTAATGTCATCTGAATCCCTAAGTGCCTCAGCAAGGTCTGAAACAGCCCTGTCTCGTTCTTTGCGAAGTTTGTCACATAAAGTCCTGATACTTTCACGTTCTAGCACAATTTTATCTCTTTCACTAAAGGCCCAGTCCCTCCTTCTCTTAGAAACTTCAGCTTCTTGTGTTGACTCTGTAGAAAGATATAAATTAATAAGACAAAGGGAATGTACAAGATTACACATAAAAGATTTTGCAAAAGTCAGAACTTATTTCAGTATCCTCAGACCTTAAGAAGCTGAATGTTGCTGATTTAAGCAAGACTGTCCCCACACAATGGCTGTACTTCCCTGATCTAAAAAACATACCTTGTAATTCAGCCTGAAGTTTGTCAATCTGCTTCCTCAATCTTTCAAGCTCCTGATTTGCCTGATCTAAATTATCCATTCTCTCTCTTTGAGACTTTCCATACATATCTCTTGTACTAGTAGAAACTTCAGCTTGATCACTGCGGCAAGTGTCCCTAAAATTGTGACAAATAATAGAAACATATTTATTGTAAAGATGATGGTAGGAAATTTTGAAATTTACTTGATAAATAATATTTAAGCAAACCTTTCCCGGATGAAAGTGTTGGATTCAAAGGCAGCTAAGCCTCCACTATTTGATTCTTTCTGTGCAATGAAATCTCCATACTTTTCTCGCAAATCATTACATTCTTTAAGGGCTTTATCCCGATCATGAAGAGCAGATGCTATTTCCCTTTTCAATGTTTCAACTTGATAAGAGAGGGCTTTTTTCTGTGTAGACAAAACAAGATAAGATAAGAGAGAAGGTTTTCTAGAAGCATGTATGATCCTAGAGGTGAAACTGTTCATATACAGTCCTTCAATACCAGTCAGGAAACACAAACCTCTTCAATGCAGTCCTTGTTCTCCACTTCAAGAGTCCTGTTTTTGTTAAAAGCCTGCGTCAGGTCATCAGTCAACTTTTCCATCTCTTTATGGACTGTATCTCTTTCACTCATAATTAGCGAGTACTCCTGCATAGCTGCATTACGCTCTTCTGTAAGACGCTTAAGATCTTTACTGGCCTTCATGCGCACAGCCATAGCTTGATTGATTTCCTTGACAGCCTCTTCATGCTGTTGTTGAGCCTGTAATAAAATATTGTGATAGATAAGATAGATAGAGGTACATGTCAATATTTGGTTTATGAAGTAAACAATGAATATGTTTGGGCTAATTACCTTTGCTAAAGCTTCCCTGTACTCATTCCTTTCTCTTAAAGCGATGTCCCACTGCCGAATTGCTGCTGTACACTGCTGTTGCAGTACAGTTCTCTCCCTTACAGCTAAATTTCTCTCTTGAACTAATTCCTCACACTGCTTTTTCAGTCTTCCTACTTCTTCCTGCAGTCATAATTTAAATAAGATTTCAGTCAAGTAAATAATGAGAAATCAAAGAGAGCTAATACCAAACTACAACATACCTGAGCTAGTTCCAGCTTATTAACAGCAGCTGAATGAGAAGCTATGAGATCATCATATCGTTTTCGGAGTGATTCGTACTCATCTTTAACCATTTCATATTTCTCACATGCAGTCAAGTAATGTTGATTTAGCGTATCTGCAGTACCACTTTCACTGCCAATAACATCCTGAAACAAACAAATAGATATAAATTATTTATGAAAATAGATAGCTTCTTAAGTGGATAAAAATGGCATTAAGAATATTAATCATTCTTAAATGCTGAGAATTTTACCTGCGACCTCAGCTCTCCAATTTCAAGTTGCAGGTTTTGCATGTCACGTTCCAAGCGCAGCTTTTCAGCAGCTATTTCGCTGTATTTTCCCCTTAATGTGGATGATTCTGTTGCTGCTGCTTCCAGCTGGCTCATAGCTGCCCGATGTTGTCCTCTGTAGTAATCCAGCTCTTTCATAGTGTGGTCGCATCGTCTTATTGTTTCGCTGTGTTGCCTATAATACATATGAAAATGTCTATAGTCCTCTGAATGATAATTGTGGCCAAGAATAGTAGTTAAATTATTATTACCTTCGTAATAGCTGCAGTTCATGCATGGCTTTGTCACATTGTTGTTTAAGGCCATCATAGTCCCGAGGTGACCCACCAGAATGACTTCGATCACTTCTGTCACTGCGGTCACTACGGTCACTACGATCACTGCTACTTACATTGTAATTCCTCTGCAGAGTTCCAGTGGCTTTATGTATTAAAAAAAGACAACAGTAAAATTATAAATTAATTAAGAAACCATATTGGAGATACTAGTAAATGATGCTAAGGATTTAAACTTACCATTGCTGCCATTACTTTCAAGTGATGATGCACCAGAAGCCATGGTAACCTAGTTCTTTTTCTGTGATTCTAAAGACATTCCTTTCCTAAGATTTTTAAATCTGATGATTGACTCACTTCCTCATGATCTTCTTGAAAAAGACACATAGTCATTCTAAAGGAGAAAAGAAAACGTAAAATTATTGGAAACACACAAAGAGTGAAAATTTCTCAAGAAATACTCCAAGAAGTAAACAGTATCCAACAACCAGAAGGTTACACTACACTGAGCACAAAATTATTCCACTTTCTTTTCTCTCCCCACTTTGTCTGGATTGTTGAGTTAAGGTGATATGTTGGAAAAGAAAAAGAAAACAAGTTGGGGACCTATGTATTGCTGTTCTGTGAGTTTTCAATAAAGAGTATAAGGAATTCTGCCTTCAAATCTGATTATCTATAAGTTGATGTGAGGTTTACTACCACAGACAGATATACCGTAAATGGTTAAGACTGAAGGAGAATATAGTTTGAAGTGCACATCAAAAAATGTCGAGAAAAATGAGTAACAGATGCAGAATCTAATATTAAAACTTATTAAGAGCAGTTTATTTAGGTACCTGTTGCATTCCCACTCTCCCCTGGACATTCCAGTACTTTTTAGCAATTTGATTGATAGAGACTAGCACCAGTTAACGAGTGATAATATTCTCCAATTAAAGAAATAGAAAGACGTAGAATTTGAAAAACTTTTGAAGTGAGGCAAGATTAAACCGCCTTGAGGAGGAGGAAAAGAGGCATAACCTTACTTTTTAAAGGGGCCGTCTTCAAAACAAGATCATATAAGGGCTGTCTAACGTGAACATTGGAAAAGACTTAACATATCATATGAAGATGACAAAAAAGATATTTTATGAAAGTACTGGGTGCACGCTAGTTACATGATAATTTGTGGGAATAACTAAGAATTTTTGTGACATCTTACTGTTTTGTTTACGTCCCCAATCAGCAAGACAGTCACTTTAAGCAAGAAAGCCGAGATGATAAGAACAATTTTATCAGAAACAAGAAGAGTGTGTCAGTTTCAACTTTTCTTCAGGTAAAGTAATATCACAAAAAGTTAGCAAATCGAAAATTTGCTATTTCTTAACCGGAACACGAACTAATGGGGCTACGTCTGCACAGTTCTGATTAAGGCACTCAGAGGGCATTAAGCACAACATTTGTAAGTCCGCAAGTTCTTGAAGTAGTTGTATAAATGCCTTACCTAAGATCTACGTTAGAATTTGCTTTCAGGCTTCTTCTTTACATCTCTTAAATTGCAAATATCAAGAAACTGCTGTCAGGAAAGAGCCATGACAGTTTTGAGACGTAAAGAGTTGCATGAACGGAGGAGAGCTTCTCCCAAGAAAACATATCTGGAGTGCAGATAATAATTAAAGATAAAGAAAAAGCTGTAAGAAGTGCACTTAGTCTCAGCATGCCAATGCCATTGGTACATTCGATTATAAACTTTCGTTATCCTTTGCCTTGGCACACAACACAAGAAGGACTTCAAATCAAATTGCTTTATTCATGTTGGCCAACCTGTCCTAAAGGGCGGGTGAATGCCACAGTTCAAACGCGGCCCCCATTAAGCACACATTAAGCAAAAAAACTGCAATCCTTGAATTTTGTCAGTCGTTCACCGATTTCAATACTGCACGCATTGAAAACTTGAACTAAACGAATGTACCGATCAACTACCGCTACACGAACGTGCCGGGAGGAATAAGTCGTTACATTTTTAAATTTATTTCTGAAAATATGGGAGAAACCATTCCGCCCACATCTTAATTTTACTAAGTGCTCGTGGTCGTGGTGTGCAATTATTGCCCCCCCCCCCAAATAAAGAAAGCCCAGTGGTGGGCGCTTCGATATAATCCACGTTATTTTTCTCGCCGCGCTCGAGCTTTGCGCGGCACCCGGCCGCGCCACGCCACGCCACGGCGGCGCGCCAACGAACAAACCTAACGACTCGTGAAGTCGACCATCAAGCTGACCGCATAAAGCCTGCAAAATGTCTTTTATCACGGCCGCCTCCGCCGCCGCTAGATGAGGACGTTTTTATCGCGGCACGCTCCGCAAATCAAAAGTGTATGTGTCTCTGAGTTATAGAGCGAGTCCGGCCGCGCAGGCCCCTCTCAGATCTCGCTGCTGCTGCGCGCCCCCCACGCAGCACGGGTCTTTTAAAGCCCACAACACCCAAATTATAATATTTTTTTGTGGAAATTTATAAATGTTGGGCGTTTCACACGCATCAAACACACGACGCTCATCAACTCGACGGCCTCTCACGGGCGCGTTCCCGCGCGCACTCTGGACTCGCCCGGCGCTGCTGGCAGGGCTCGAGCAGGATTGTCGACAAGGACACAACCCCTTATACTCTCGAGCGAGCTCGTCCCCCGCGTGGCGGCGGCAAAGGCAAGCGCGCGGCTGCGGCGGCGGGCGTTTGAAGTTCAAGTTTTGGAACTGTCATTTCAGTTTGGACCTACTAATTTGCTCTCCCGAGTCGATGAGGGCAAGAGGAGTTGGTAGGCAGTTGACCGCGACCCCCCCCCCCTTCCTTTCGACGCAACCCGAGAGCGGCAGAGGGGAGGGCGACGCTTCAGCGCGAGTTTCTGTCTGATTCGCTTTATGGAATGGAACCATCCACGGGGCGGGGATCTACGCGGCCACGCTGGCCGTCGGCGCCACTTCAAGTCCACACTGCCCGCGGCCCCCATACCGCGACCCCCCGCGCTGCTCAAAAGGCGCCAGTCAGCGGGACCTGGGAGAAGTGTCCTGGAGGTGCGGGTAGGAGGGCCTGGACCTGGAGCAGGGCCGTGAGGTGAGCGGTACATAACTCCATTCTACTTGGCTGGGCCCGGGTGCGGGGCTGACTGTGAGTGGGGCGCGGGGTGGTGGGTAGTGAGGGTGGTAGGGGCAGTAGGGGTGGTAGGGGTGGTGGGGGCGGGGGCGCCCTGCGGTCCGGGGATGGAGCGGGACCGTAACCCGAGGGGACAGCCCGGCCGCGGCCCCGGCCCGTGGGTGGCGCCGGATTTATTGCGTTAGTTAATGCAGGCCGGGCATAAGGAAGTGTCCTCTTTGTTTACGGTAATGAGGTATCGCGGCAATGGCGCGTGGTAATTGACTGACTCGAGCCTCACGCGGGACGCACTGAGAGTGGGTCAGGGCGGCGGGGGCGGCCCGGGTCCTCTCTCCCCATCCGCCAGGCGCCGCCCCCGGGCCGCCCCCGGTGGGGCAGGTCGTCGTCGTCGTCCGCCGTGTCCTTAAATCAGGCCGCCCTCTCCTGCTCCGCCGCCGGCTGCCAGGCCCCGGGCCCCTCCCGGCGACACGCGAGGGAGCTCATTTTCACCTCCGCTCTCGCATTCTGCTTTTCCTCCTCCCATTTAGGCCACGCCCATAATTTTATCGAGACTGGGTCGGCAGTAGACCCAGCCGCCCCCCAGCAGCAGCCTCCCCCTCCTCGCCCGCCTCTCCCCCTCGGCTAAATGTGTTTGTCACCGAAACTCTGCCGGCAAAGTGGATGGATATGCAGCGCGGAGCAGAGGCCGGGCCGAGCAGAGGCGGCGTGCCGGGGCGGAAGAGGTGTGTCCCTGACTCGAGCCAGTCTCCGGGGCGGCTGCGACGCCCGCCTCGAGCTGGAGCGCACGCCCTACTCCGCTCTCTCCCCCTGCTCCCCCCCCCCCCCTGACCCCAAGGCCAACCGGCATCATTGGTATGAAAAACTGCTGCCGACGACTCGAATTTCCACACCGAACTTGGTGTCGCCGTGTCGCCGGGGCGCGGCGGGCCTTTCACGACGGCAATGCTAATTTTTCCTTTCGACGCCAACGTGACTTTTATGTGAACAAGGAAGTACACCCCCCTACCACCCCGCCCACCGCCCTTCCCTCCTGCACGGGCGTTTCGTTCAGTTGCTCTCACAAAATTCCCCGTCGTCGATCCAAAACTATTTTTCTTTCAGGCCGTCTTTTATAGTTTCAAAACGTAATTTTAGATTTTTCTTTCTTACTTTTCACAGCCCATCGATTTTCGAAAAACAGAAATAATGCGTACAAATTTGAGAGGTTAACACGTGAGCCTTTTTGTTGCGAGTCGGTGTGGGTGTGGGCGGGTGCGATACTCCCCTGCTGCTCTGTTTTGCTCGCGTCCTGGCCGCGGGGCCGCGGGGGCCTTTGCGTCGTACACCGGCACTACGCGGGGGTCCCGCGGCGTGCACCAGCGGGGGGGCCGAGGGGCCGGGGTAAATGTGGTGGCAAGCTGATTAGAAAGCCATCAGCCGGCAGCCCAGCCCCAGCCGGAGAGGGGGAGGGAGGGTGGAGGGGGTGAGGGGCAAAAACCACACACTGCGCCACACTCTCTCCAGGATCCGGGAAGTGGCGGGCGGCTGGCCTAGCCGTTGGGCTGGTCCGCAGGGCGTCACACAGTTGGTCCTAGCAGCAGAGTGGGGCTGGTCGTTTTCGGCACATGTTAATATACTCGTTTGTGGACCAAAAATAAATAAATAAAATTGAACAATAGATCGCTTCGTTTGGAATGTAGAAGCTGCAGGTATGAAGCCAGTCGGTATATCCGTCTGTCTGGAGTCTTGAGCTTCCCGCGCACGCCTCCCCTGGGGCTGGCGAGGCGGGGGGCTGCTCCCGCTACCGCTACTACTTGCTCCCGAGCTTGCTCCCCCGCGGCTCCGTTAACATCATGTTGTCATAATGCGAATGGCCCATAATGGTACCCCTCTCCGGGGCGCCGCCAGCCGCCCGCCAGGGTCGGGGGCAGTAAATAGTTCTTACCGCTCTGCTTCGGGTCAAACGGCGGCGGGCCGCCGCAGCGCGCGCGAGTTTATGCGTCATTTACTCGCCGTTGCAACCCATTCTGAAAGTGGAATTAGGTGCGGCGGGTGCGGCCGGACCCTCCTGGACCGCTTACGGCGGCGCCACTCGGCCCGCCCGGCTGCCCAGAGAGAGAGAGAGAGAGAGAGAGAGAGAGAGAGAGAGAGAGAGAGAGAGAGAGAGGACCGCGCCCTGCCTCCGATTTAGTCGGCCGCTACCGCTTCACCCAAAAGGGTCTCCTTAAACTAGATTTCGTAAATCTCACCACAATTTTTACTTTATTTTCAACGATATTTTCCCGAAGCTAAGGAAAATTTTCCTTGTATTTGCTCAAGGTAAAAACAATAGTCTTTCTGCAAGGCATGTTTCCTTGTTTCAAGGATACCATTTTCTAGGTGTACGTGTAACAGATCCCACGCACCTCACCCACACAATGTTTTCGGAGAATTTGTGAAATAATGCGAAAGGAAATGTTGTTTAAGGGGTGCACTAAGGCTTCGTGTAGAACTTTTAAGGAGTACATTTAACAACATGTATCTGGCGGTGCCTTTGGTGCTCCACGAGAGAGCAGTAGTAGTCACATTCCTCAAACGGCGTGGGGTAGTAATATTATTAAACATGATCCTGTGCTGTGCTGCCTCTGCCTCTGCCTCAGCTACCTCATATCTTTCTGCGGATTTATGAAGAAAAAGCAGCACTTCAACACCTCGGCACTCGGCGCGGCATTGCCGCTCCGCTTTGTCCACTTGCGTCCCTCTTGTAACATCACGAGGGAGAGTGCGCCGGTGGCGTCCTCTCCCCTCCCCCCTGGTCCCCGCGTCATCCCCTCACCTACAGCTCTCCGCTCCGCCTCCCCCGACCCCCGACCACCACTCCAGCAGATGCCATCAAGACGGGCAAATAGCTGCTAATTGTGGAGACAAAGGCGTCGCCGAGAGGGCCAAAGCGAAAAATAGCTTTTTTTACGTCATTTCCTACCATTGTCGACGACAGGGCAGGGCGACCGTGCCACGGCAGAGAGGGAGGGAGAGCGAGAGAGCGAGAGGGAGAGAGGGAGAGGGAGAGAGAGAGAGAGAGAGGCCCGACAAGGCAAAGACAGTGGCGGGAGAGGGCTTCTTGCCACTAATGAAGGGAAGGGGCAGTGAAGAGGGGGGGGGGGAGTGAGAGAAAGGAGGGGGGAGGGGGTTAAGGGGACCCCTTTGCTCCTACTACACGCCGCCAGACAAGACAAGGGAGGGAAGCCTGCAGATTTATTGCCTGGCAACCTGGGGAAGGTAATCGCAACAGACAGAGAAAGGTGAGCAACGTCTCGGTGGCGCGGGCGCGATGCTGGACGCGGCGAAGGAAGCTGAGTCCATAAATTAGGAACCTGGCGGATTCTCTGCGGTGAGTTCCGCAAACCTCTCCTCACATTACAGTTAGTTGCTCTCTCTCTCTCTCTCTCTCTTGCTCGCGCTCTCTCATTCTCATTACGACCTCGCGACACGCCAGCAGCACAGCGGGGCGCGGCTATTTTGCGGGGAAACACTATACCTCCCGCT